GACAGCAGCACAATGCAGCGACGTTTCAGCCAGTGTCCCAAAATGGCTAGGCAGACATTTCTACCAGCCCGAAGATCCTGTGTAGTTACAAAACTTGGAATCATTTCTGACCTGGCATAGCCTTTAATATGTTGCATTCCCCATGACTTTGGTTTAATTCTTCATAATATTCATTACCTCTGGGCCTGTGACAATGTTTTTGATAAAGCATGGTACATTACACTTCAATTTCTAAGCAGTTTCTAAGCATCTTTGTATTATAAAGACACTCTGCTCTTAAATGAGAATGATCTGAGGACAGGTAAAGAAAAGGATAGGACATCCTATTGTAACTAAAGTTCCTGTATGTGCTTCAGCTAGATGTAGCTTTCACAAATACTTATTAGAGATTTAATTTGATTTGTTGCTATACTACTTGTCTGCTCAGCTATTTGTATTTCCCCAGCTCCCCATATAGTCATCGGTGACTAAAGGGAAAGGGATTGTTTTGGCGGGAAAGGAAAGGAAGATGACCCTAGAGGTCACCTTAACAGAACCAGCTGAGCATCCAACACAGCAAAAGGCACAATTGCTACACTGACCTGTGGGTCTCTCTCTGTACAGTCAGTCTTCATGCACAGAGCTGCGATGAAAATTAGTTCTCCAAGGTCTTATATTGGAAGCAGGGCTTCAGGGTGCTTTAGTTTTTTTTAGTAACAAAGAAATGGAAGAGACATGATAGCACATCAAAGATATCCAGCCCTACTGCTTCTTTCCCACCTTTTAAGAGAAGAGCATTCTGTGGAGCTGGCTGTGTATGTTGTGCCCACGAGCTCCTGATAGCGGTACCATTTTAGACAAGATCCTTTCTGGTCTCACTGGGACAGCAGGATAGTTTGCTATCCCCTAAGGAGCTGAGAGTATATTACACACACGCTCATAATAATACAAATTCCATGTCCTCAGCGCGGATACCCAGAGGCTTAACATCATCCCTTCCTATTGGCTACCTAAAACAATGTTGGCGATTAAATCTCCCTTCTCTAATCGCACTGTAATACTACCCCTTCTAGGAACAAGCCATACCAGTATAAATACTACAACATAAGCATTTTTATGTTGCTATAACTGCACTCACCCCAGAGGAATTCCACCTTTTTGACATCAGAGGTAAAATGTGAGAGTTTTTTTTGTGTGACTGAGCACTGAAAATGTTCAAAACTATTTCAAAAAGGGTGCCTCCAGTAGCAATACAAATCTACTATGGGAAGTAAAAACCAAAGTGTTACACGCAGGCTTTCTCCTCTTGTTCAGTGAGCAGACCTGAACAATATGGTTGCTAAACCAAAACATCCTGTTTGTATGGACATTGCCATCTTGGTGGTACTGCGTCAGAGATGAGGGAGTGACTTCAGAATGCCTCAGAAAAAAATCAGTACAGCTTTTTTTTTGCCCACTTACCATGAAAGATGAGATGAAGATTTTTGCATGATTTCTGAGAATGAGAAATGTACCAGAGAACCAACTGCTGAATGGCACTACTATACATCAGAACTGCTACATGTTCCTTTTGAAACAGTGGGCATATATACTGGTAATGTAAAACGCTTTGCAGTTATCATAATAAGGCAAGGATCTGAATAGTAAGAATTCTTTATATTCTTTCTTCCACAGAGAAGCCTCACCCAAACAGCTTGCCAAGAGCCAGCTCTGTACAGTGCAAAGCATATTCTCTACCACCAGACACACGACGCATGCAGAACAGTCTGACTATCCCTTTTATCTCAATCATCTGTGTGTGAGTAATCTTACAGGGCAAATACTTCATTCAGATTCTCTTTGCTTCCATTTTATGACATGGATTTTCATGGCCGTTTACTTTTCTCCTCCTGCTGAAAAGCGAGAAGATTGGAGTCTCAGAGTCTGCAGCTTTGTGTTTAGTCACTGCCCACGGAGTCACTGCAGATGGTATCTGCTCAGCGCTACCACATGCTGGATGACATATATTAAGAGCACAAAAAACCCTCATGAAAATGCTTTCAAAATGCTTACAAAGTAAGCCCTGTGATCCCAGTAGGAATGAGGTGACAGCTCAGTAGAAGGTCCTACTCAAATATTTTATGTAATTTCAGCTTCAAGTTACAAAGAGTGTATTTTAGTGTCACGTAGGATGAGAGGATATATCTGTGCTTCCAGTTCCCTCCAAAAAGATAATTTCATAGGGCAGCCTGGATCTTGTAAGTATTATTTTTATAAACTTGTTTTAATTGGACTACTGCATGGCAGGGAAGGCTTATTTTCTCAGTGGGGCTCTGTGTGCCAGAGAACCAGGATTAAAGACCGCAACCAGTCACCAAATAAGAAAATCACTGAGAAAAGAGAAACAGCTGGAGATAGGCCAAAATCTCTGCCAAGAGATGCTTCAGTGAGTGAATGCATTCACTCTGATGAGCGGCCCAGAGGATAGCTCTTGAGAAACAGTTCCTGAATTAGCTTTTAGTCTTGTTATCTGGCAGTGAACTTTATAGCTTTCACAAAGAGGAGCAGGCTTCACAATCCTGCCCAGTGTCCTTCCAGTGATGACATACTGGATGTCATTGGGCTGTATGAGAAAGACTGTCAGGGCTCTAGTTGAGGAAACCTGTTAGTGAAGGCTTGAAATGTTCTTTTTCCTTACTGGGTATTGCTTTTGGCACAAGAACAAAACCGACAGTGCAAGAGGAAGGCTGCCAGCAAAATGATCATGAGAAAAAGGATTAAAACCTAGTTTAACTTTCTAAAAGTGACCGATTTACATTAGCAGTTTGCCAGGGACAAAGTGAATGTGCCGGGCAGTGTGCATTGTGGTGAACAGAGAAGGGAAAATTGTGGATTACCCTCATTGTGCAAAGAATTTTACCTTTTCCACTTATCAGCAAAGATGGATCGTAGCTCTGCAGGATCAGGCCTCATATGATCTGCTCTTCAAATTTAAGATTTCAGTTCTTTGAATCATAAGTGGTAAAAGGGTAATACATCAAATAAGCCCTGCATCTCTTTGAGGTGACATTTCCTTACTTCTTCTGAATTCATTTGTGACTCTTTAATGAGTTGTATTGCACACATTTTTTATGTCCTCTTAAATAAAATGTGTGTGGCTCTTGGCAATGCAGTCTATATACTGGTAACATCTCAGTGACTTTGTGCTAAATTCTAATTAAGACACTTAATTGAGCCTCCAGTTGCTACTATGTCTATATGAGCAGCAGCTGGGGACCACCTAATCATGCAAAGATCTGTGCTACTTTCCCTATGTTTATTTAAAGAGCTTTACGTGACACACTACTTTCTTTATGACAAATTCCCTTGAAATACTGGACAATGAATGGAAACAGCATGGAGACCTTTTGGCTATTCCTAGACAACCATCTGAGTATTCTTTAAGCGATATTAAAGCTCCCTCTTTGTACCTTAGGTCAAAATCCTTTCTTATGTGGCACAGAAAAAATAGCAACACGCTTCTTTCTTGAAAGCCTCTACTATTAGAAAGGCTCAACTGTCAGGAGAAATGTGTTACACAGATCTCACTACCCTTATTTGCTACCACATCCTTCACTTTGGGACTTCGTTACACATCAAGAACTCCAATGGCAGTCATCTATCTGTCAGCATCAGAAGGAGACATCCGTGCCAAGATCTGAGCCCAGGGGTGAGACTTTGAACCCAGCGGGCTGATAAACACCCAGGACAGCACTGCTGGACTCAGCGCCACTGCTCAGAGCAGCTCAGGTCAGGCTCCGCACAAGCACTCAGCTTCTGAGAAACGTTTACACTTGAGTAAATTAAACAGTAACACAAACAACACCTCACAAGCCCGGAGCTTTCAAAGGTCTTTTTGCCCCCAAAGCCTACTTAGCCATGCTTACATACAATTTAAGCATACAATAGCCAAACTTCTACTGTATTTCAAAGCTGCTGCATCTTGGTTTTGTGCAGGGCCCAGCTCCGCCGATACGGTTTCAGCTGATAAGATTATTCTGGTAAGCGGGGCTTAACCTTGGAAAACAAAGAGCGGCTTGAAACGCAGCGCTCACCCCTCCCTTCCCTCACAGCACACGGACGCGCAGCCCGCTTTCCCTTCCCTCCCATTTGGAACCCCACCCGCGGCAGTAACCCCGCCGAGGGCATTCCCCACGCAGCGGCGGGCGGAGCGGCATTGCGGAGCGCCGAGCTGTCCTGCCACCTGCCGGCACGGCACGGCATGGAGCCCCGGGAACCGCCGCGCAGCTCCAACAGAGCTCCGTGAGCCCAGGGCGCTGCAGGCTGCCGGCGGAGACCCTGGCGATGCCGAAGGGAGGTCAGGAGTGTCGGGTCCGAATTCTCCTTCCAGCCCAGGCCTGTTATTTACGCTGCGTGGCGCACGCAAGCGACCTGCACGTGCCCCGGGAGCATTAGCTGCTTATTTACGTTCAGCAGACGCCGATATTCAGGTCTACGTGAAGGTAACGCCACCTCTATGAACCAGCAGCACCCGTGGGTAATTGCTCCTTAAACACCCGAGGCTAACGGAGTCACCGGAGATACATCTCCCACGCAAAATCCACTGCCACAATTCTGAGTCCGCCAGAGATTCCTCTCACGGAAGCACCGTACGGCGAGTCTCTGCTCCTGAAGTCTGCTCGTGATCAGAAACGCACCCACGTATAAACGCGGCGCCATTTTCCACGCGCTCCCGAGCAGCGCCCGGCGGGCACGGCGCCTCTCCTTTCCCGCTTCGGCAGCACTGAGAGCAGAGGGCCGGCACCGCCATTCTGTTCCGAGCTCCGAGCACAGCAGAGGAACGGAGAGAGCGCTGACTGACAAACGTGCCGGTTATGCGGGGAGCGAACGTGGCAAAAGGGTACACGGCGTGACAGGGCAGCCCTTTGTTCGGGGGAACCGAGGCCAACCTGCGCTGCCCGCGCTCCCGCGAGGCCCACCACTTATTCCCCAACCTCCGCCGGAAGCAGCCGCGCCGGGAGGGGCGGGGCTGCGTGGCGGCCATGGCGGCGTGCGGCGCGGAAGAGCGGCAGCGGGTGGGACGGCTCTCGGCGCTTTCGGTGTACCGCCGGGCGGCGGGGCCCGGGCGACTGGAGCGGCGCCTCCGCGGGACGCCGCTGCCTGCGGGCGGTAAGCGGAATAAAGCGCGGCTGAGGCGTGGCGCGGCGGGAGGAGGCGGCCCGGAGCGGGCTGCGCTGCCGCAGAGCGCCGCCCCCCCCCCCAACCGCGTGGAGCGGGCTGGGAGCCCCGAAGCCAAGCAGGGAGACCTTAAGACTAAACCGAGCGGCTCTCCGGCCAAAGCTGCGACCAACGCTCCGGCCGGAAACCTCGAAACCAAGTCGCTCGGAGGCCCTTTGACAATCTTGGGCGGTTCGCGGGCCAAGACTCCGGTCGGGAACCCCGAAGCAAAGCCGCCCGGAGACCCCGCAAAGAGCCCGGGCGGCGGAGGCGTGTTGGGGCTGCTGCGGCGGCTGGGGCGGCTGGAGGACAGCCGGCGGAGGGCGGCAGAGCTGTTCCGGTGGCTGGTGGCACCAGTGGCACCGGAGGAGTTCGCGAGGCGGCACTGGGAGCAGGCGCCGCTGCTCGTGCAGCGGGGTGACCCCGGCTACTACGCGGGGCTGTTCTCCACGGCTGACTTCGACGCCATTCTGCGCAGCGGTGATGTGCGCTTCGGGACCCACCTGGACGTGACCAGCTATGCTGAGGGGGTGCGGGAGACGCACAACCCCGTGGGCCGGGCGCTGCCTGCCGTCGTCTGGGACTTTTACCAGAACGGGTGCTCTCTGCGGCTCCTCAGCCCCCAGGCTTTCTCCACCACTGTCTGGCACTTCCTCTCTGTCCTGCAGGAGCACTTTGGGAGCATGGCTGGGGCCAACACCTACCTCACGCCACCAGGCACACAGGGCTTCGCCCCTCACTACGACGACATTGAGGCCTTCGTTCTGCAGCTGGAGGGCAAGAAGCACTGGCGCATTTACGGCCCCCGGACGAGCTCAGAGGCACTGCCCCAGTTCTCCAGTGCAAACCTCACGCAGGCGGAGCTCGGTGAGCCCCTGCTGGAAGTGGTTCTGGAGGCTGGAGACCTCCTATACTTTCCCCGGGGCTTTATCCACCAGGCTGACTGTCTGCCAGATGCGCACTCGCTCCACATTACAGTGTCCTCCTATCAGAGGAACTCCTGGGGAGACTTCTTGGAGAAGCTTCTTCCTGCTGCCCTGCAGATGGCCCTGGAGGAGGACCTTGAGTACCGGCAAGGGCTTCCCATGGACTGCCTGGGGTACATGGGGGTTGCCAACTCAGATGCCATCGATGCTCGCCGAACAGCGTTTGTGGAGAAGGTGCAGCACCTGATAAAGAAACTTGTTGACTATGCACCCATTGACGCTGCCATGGATCAGAGGGCTAAGTCGTTTCTTCACGACTGTCTCCCACCAGTGCTTACACAAAGTGAGAAACAGCTGAGCGTGTATGGCTTTCCAGCTCGGTGGCATGATGGAAGGCCCCGCAATGTTGATATACTAATAACAAAAGACACAGAAGTACGTCTTCTCCATCATGGCATTGTTAGATTGTGCAATGAAGAAGCAGGCGTGATGCTATATTACACAACAGAAAACTCAAGAGTGTATCATAAGGAAGACCCCAAGTACCTTGAGATAGATCCTGAGTACACAGACAGTATTGAATTTCTCCTGTCCTCCTATCCAAACCACGTCAGCGTGGATACCCTCCCATGTGATGCCTTGGAGGACAAGATTTCTCTAGCTACGCTCCTGTTTGAGAAGGGCATTCTGACTACTAAGAAGCCACTGGTGCAAGTGTAACTCTTATTTTTTAACAAAATAAAAATGCGTTTGTTTAGAAAATACTGTCTCTTGTTTTCACAGTACAGCTGCTGGGTGTTAATGCACAGTCTGATCTCAGCATCTGACCTGGGAGCAGAAGGGCTTTGACCTGAGTAGAGAAACGATGTGTTCTGATTAAAATAAGCATCTGCTTTAAGAGCAGATCTGTGCATTGCTTTGCCAGCCATATTACTACACATTAAGTAACTTCAGAAAGCAATGAACTTTTTTTACAGTCTGTAAACTGTTAGTGTTTTTCAAGTATTGTAAAGCAGCCTGTGTGACAGTGGGAAGTACTCTTACTGCTTACATTCATGTCTAGTGATGGTCACTGTATTTGCAGGGAGGTGCAGTTTGGTTGTGATCCCAGTAAGAAAGACTAAGACTTGGAGAGGCAACAATTCAAAAATGCTATTTGAGCTAACGTTAAGAGCACTGATAGTCTCAGGTCCATTTAGATACTGAGCATCAGACAGGACTCTGACCCATGTACACAATGCTATGCAAATAGCACGTAGCAGAAATCCTTCTCTGTTGGTCACTGAACTTATTACTGGATTTTCTTAAGGGAAACAGCTCATGTTTATAATCAGGGAGAAATGATGTGTGCAAGAAAACTTGCTGCACTGTTAATATCTAACAAGTTATTTGCTGTTGATAATAAACTGGGAGGAGCTGTTGACTCTCCTAAGGGTGGAGTGGCCTTGCAAAGGGATCTTGACAAATTAGAGGGCTGGGCAGTCACCAGGCACATTAAATTTAATGAGCGAGTGCTGAATTCTGCACCTCAGATGGGGCAACCCTGGCTGTACACACAGACTAGGGAGCAAGAAGCTGGAGAACAACCATGTGGAAAGGGATCTAGGTGTTCTGGCTGATGGCAAGTTAAACATGAGTCAGCAGCATGCCCTGGTAGCCAAAAGGGTGAACTGTACCTTTGGGTACACCAAGCCCAGCACTGCAAGCCACGTAAGGGGAAGGATTGTCTTGCTCTGCTCTGTTCTGGTGTGGCCTCACCTTGACTTCTGTGTGCAGGTTTGGGCACCACAATATAGGCTGTTAGAGTATGTCCAAAGGAAGGGTACACAGATGGTGAAGAGTCTAGAGGGGAAGATGTGAGGAGTGGCTGAGGTCCCATGGTTTGTTCAGCCCAGAGCAGAGAGGGCTGAGGGGAGGCTTTGTGGTGGCCTATAGGTCCACACAAGGGGAGCGGATGGGCAGCACTGGTCTCTGCTCTCTAGTGACAGTAACAGAACCTGAGGGAATGACATGGACCTGTGTCGGGGAGAGTCAGGTTGGGTGTTAGGAAACAGTTCTTCACCAGGGGGTGGTCGGGCCCTGGCACAGGTTCCCCAGAGCAGTGGTCAGCACTAGGCCTGCAAGGTCAGTACTAGGCCTTCAATAAACGCTTGGACATTGCTCTCAGATATGTGGTTTGAACTTTGCACGGTCCTGTGTGGAGCCAGGAGATGGAATCCATGCTCCTTGTGGGTCCCTTTCAACTCAAAGTGTCCTACAATTCTACTGTACAGGAAAGGCCATGCAGGCAGCATGCTCACCAGTACCAAATGGGAGTTGCTCACAGACTTCTCTAGTTAAGAACAGATGACCAAGTGAGTCCTGCAGTCAGAAGGCCTGGAGGCCATGCTGTATGTGCAATGTGGCACAGGCCTAGTCGTGCTCAGGTTAGTTGTGAATCACTGTGGATCACTCATTTCTTGATGTACAATGGTCTTCTGGTCATGATAACCATGCTGACTTCCACTGAGAAAAGTAATGAGATGCCTAAATCACAGAATCACAGAATTGTAGGGGCTGGAAGGGACCTCTAGAGATCATCTAGTCCAAGCCCTCTGCAAGGCAGGCTCCCTAAACCAGGTTGCACAGGTAGGTGTCCACACAGGTCTTGAATATCTCCAGAGAAGGAGACTCCACAATTCCCTTGGGCAGCCTGTTCCAGTGCTCCATCACCCTTACCATGCAGAAGTTCTTAGGTACATTTGTGCAGAACTTCCTATGCTTTGGTTTGTGGCGGTTTCCCCTTGTCCTATCGCCACACACTGCTGAAAAGAGATTGGCCTCATCCCTTTGCCTCCCACACCTTAGATATTTATAGACATGTTATAGAGGACTTCAGGCCTAGTGACAAACTGAATTGTCTTGCAACAGTGAAGTGGCCATGCTTTTTAACACTTCCCTGAGCTGTTCTATTAATTTCTTTTGCAAGACACATGCCCCCGAGTGCAGGCTATCTGATGTACTCTTACATTTGAGTCCTTCCACATGAGCTAGGAAATGGTTGCATATGACCTGACTATTATAGTTGTTTCTCATATTTCTCTAGTAAATCCCTGCTCACAGATATGCCACTACAATACCAGTAACATCCAAAGGAGGAGGATTGCAGCTGTGCCTTCCTCTGAGTCTGTTGCTCCAAGGATGAAAACTAGTAAGCCTGAAGGCAGATTGCTATCAAGAACCTTGTGCCTTGTATTTGGACTTGCCATTTGGAAACAGTGCTTGTGGCAGTTGACCTAACAGGATTTGCAAGTACGGCCTGTTTGGCAGCGAGACACCAGGCCTCAGCAGAGCTGCCAGCCTTTGGAGATGCTCCCACAGTGCCAAAGGACCAGCTGTCATGAGATTGCCCTGCTGCAGTCACTGGCAGAGCTGCAGCTATGGCTCCAAGCAGCCTCAATGTCTATCAGCACGCGGGTGTCCCTCACTTGCAGTAACTCTGCCTGCATGTAGGATGGTATGGACAAGGACCATCTCAGTGGGGACCACAGATCTTCCCACCACGGAGCACTAGGATTCACCAAGCAGCCAGGACTTCCCTGTCTCATCAGGCAGTAGGGTAGACTGTCACCCCTGCTGCTTGATGCAAGCCCTCTGAAAACACTGCTCTGAGGGATTTGGGGAAGTATTTAATCAGGCCAAATTATGGCTAATAGCAGGGAAAGCTCAGCATGCCATAAGGCAAGGCAAGGCTTGCTTGGACTGTATGCCTGGGATATAGCCAACAGATGCCTGCTATATGTGCCTGTTCCTCCAGAAGCACTAGTGTCTGAGGTGCTGGAGTGCAGCAATACAGAGCAGGGATGTGTACTGAGGTACATGAAGCAAACACAGCAGAAGACCTGGTGGGTACCAACATCCCTATACATTCTGTGCAACTCCTCAGCATATCTCAGTATCCTCACCAGTTACCTTCAAGTGCAGTCCAGCTAAAAAGCTGTGCTGGCATTTGGCTCAGGTTGTATTCAATCCAGCATTAGTTGACTGAGTCTTAAAGGCAGCCTTTGAAGTACTGAGGAAACCGCTCTTCTCAACAAGCTCTAAAGGTACAAGTCCATTTGCTCTCCTCCTCTCTGCACAGGAAAGTTATTTCACTAAAAGGAATTATTTTATTAAACAAATAAACACAAATCTTGTAACCTCAAAGAAAGAAAATCCCCTGTGCTGAATCTTCTTTCTCACCACTGTACCAAGTGGCAAGGGGTCAATTTTGAAACAGATGACCTTCTGAGGATGGGAACGAGGCCACTGGAAGTTCAGTCAGGACCAGGAAGATGCTTGCAAGAGATTTAGCTTTGTTCTACCCTGAGCATGCCTAGGTCTGAAGGACCTAAGCTAACAGATGCCCTTTCATTTATGGAATTAGTGTTGTTCACTCCTGTACCAATTTAAACCCAATAACTTCACATACAGCTGCCACTAGAATTGCATTTACATTACCTGTGATTTCCCTGATCTTTCTCAATCAGGCATTGAGAAAAGGAATAGTATTTGAATTGATCTTAACTGCATAGACCATATGCAATATGCTGTTATCTCCCTGGTGGTTTGTGAACTTCAGATAAATGTCTGTACTTTCCAATGAACTATGGTCTCCTCGTCTATATACCATCTTCAGATCTTTGGTGCAGAGATTTCACCACGTACAGAGTGAATGCCCCATCTCAAATGGGAACATCTCCAACTGCTAAATTGCAGAAGGATACAATGTGGGATGTTAGAAGAAATGTGCCGGTGTCCTTAGTTAAGAGCTTTCAGGCTGCTGGGAATAAGATCTTCCCTCTGGAAAAGCTGTGTCCTCTGTACCATGGGTTCACCTGCCCTCTGGAAGGACATGCTCTGCCTGGTAATTTCTATTTCTGGCGCCACTGTGCTCTGACCATCCAAGAAACTCTGCTGCTTACTATAATCTCCTCCCAAAATATTTCTATCTTCAGCTTGGTGTTTGGATTGAAAAATCTTTCTTATGCAAGAGATCAGAACTGGCAAAAGAGAATTAGAAATGAAACTCCCTTCCCTACCCAGCGTATTTTGTAATTGATTCTCTTGACAGACCCAGCCAACGCCCTCACGCTAACAATGCTCTCTCATAAAAGTTGCCATCATCTAGTGAGAGGTGCAAGACTGTTCCACGCCTACAGTTGGCTGAAGACAACCATGCTATGTTAGGATTGTTTCTTAGGGGTGGGCTTGCCCTGGGCAGCAGTTCATGAGGGAGCAGGCAGAAGCAAGCTGCCATAATGCTCCCAGTGTGTGGTGTCCATTGTCTGCAGGTCTGCAGGCAGCAAAACAGAAACCTGTCTTGTAGGGAGCCTACTGCTTGTTTGGGAGATGGCAGGGAGAGCCTGTGGGAGAAACTGGGTCCAGTCCTGCAAGGAGCAATTATCAGCAGCCCTGGTTTGAGGATCACCGCCACAGCATATTTGCACACTGTAAATCAACTGCCAGTGCTGGGCAGAGCTAAAAGCCTTTGGAAATGCTCCTATGATGTCAGAGCACCGAGCATGCCTTACCACAGACAGCAACAGGGCTGCAGTCACAGCTCCAGGCAGCCTTGAAAACCTCGCAGCCAGAATGGGCCCACGCAGTCCCTGCCCAGGATTCTCCTCCCTGTGTGTGGGAAGCGGCACTTGTACAAAAAGCTCCAGCCCACATGCAAACAGTGTGAAGCGACCTGGGGCCACAGGGCAGATGACTGCCCTCACGGCGTGCCGACAGGTCTCCCGCTGCTGGCAGAGCTGGCTCTCCTGGCCCAGGTTCTCTCCGCAGCCCCTGCAGATCCCTGGGGTGCCCACATCTCGCAGCCTCGCTTCCACAGCAACCGCCATCCGCTTCTCACCAGCCACCCGCAGCCTCTTCGATGAGCCGCTGGGCATCGCCGTGCAGGGCCTCAGCCCGCGGCAGCAGGTCACCCTGCGGGCGTCCCTGCGGGACGAGGCGGGCGAGCTGTTCGAAGCCCACGCCCGGTACCAGGCGGCGGAGGACGGCGAGCTGGACCTGGCCCGCTGCCCCGCGCTGCCGGGAGGCAGCTTCAGCGGCCTGGAGCCCATGGGGCTGCTGTGGGCGCTGCAGCCCCGCAGGGCCTTCTGGCGGCTGGTGAAGAAGGACGTGCAGACCCCTTTCCTCCTGCGGCTGGAGGTGCTGGACGGCCACGGGGATGACCCCGGGCGGCTCCTGGCCCAGGCCCAGCACGAGCGGGCGTTCCTGCGCGACGGGGTGCGCAGGGTGCCGGTGCGAGACGGGAGGATCAGGGCAACGCTCTTCCTGCCCCCCGGTGAGTCCCGGCTGTAGCCGTCCTTTTTTTTCAAAAGTATTGTGTTTGTCAGGGCAAGCTATCTCATGACCTACATAAAGAGGAGCCCATGAAAGCTCCATCCCTCTTTTCCTCTCTACCGTCCCACTGACCCATTTGACTATCATTTACATTCACCCAGGAACTTGAATGCTAGAACAAGGTTACAGAAACAGGCAAAGAAATTATTCTTTCCAAAAGCCAGGTGGTATAAATGTGGAGGAACACACAGCAAGCAATGAGTGCACCAGTAGGCGTCTGGAGCCGAGAGGCTGAGATAAAGAGCTGTGCAGAGAGTCTATATGCCAGTCCTGCCTTGTTGCCCAGAGCTGGCTCCACATAAAAACCCTGGGAGTCCTCCTCCTGGAGGGGACTCCAGAACTTTCATGGAGAAGAAATCTTTCCAGCAGAAAAAGACAAACATTGAATAGCTTTAGTAAAGGATTTCCTTTTGGAGGTGTATGACTTGCTCAAGACACCACCAGGTTTCAGTATGTGCTGGGCTGCTAAACAGAGACCTCCTTGCCAGAGTCCAGGGTGTGCTGACTTCTCACCCTCAGCATCCCCCTTGGAGGTGAGGCCAGGGCTCCTCCCCCTGCCTGCTGACCAGGAGATGAAGAAAGCTGCTTGCATACATTTTGTTTCCAAACTTTCCTGCTTCCCTTCACTCATGCTGCTTTATGGAAAGCTGGCTTGTTTTCTCAGTGTCCCCAGGCCTGCTCCTTCAAACAGTGTGTGCTTTAAAATTATAAACCTTTGCCAGTCCCTGTTTCTTTGAAATGTTTCCTAGGCATAGAATAGAAGGATTTTATTTTCATCCTGCAGCCATTAGGAGTTGGATACCACTTAGCAAACAAAGTCTAAAAGTGGAGAGTCCAAATGGCTTTTGCTACAATGCTGTCCCGCCTCCGTTGAGTATCCCTACAGACCTTTTCTGTATTAGGACCTTTTCTGTGCATGTTCAGGGTAAGCCAACAGTGTTGTGCTACACTCAGCTGAGCCTTGGGTCATAGGCAACTGCATCCTGCTCTTTGCAGTACACGGCCACTGCTTTGAATGCTCACAATCTATGTAAAGCCAGTAAATGTTCTGTCATCTGCATGCAAACAGCAGAGGAAGAGCAATGGGAGAGGTCTTTTTAGCAGCCAACGCTGAATTGCTGAGTGACTTGTCGTGTCCTTTCCACCCAAAACAGTCTTCTGCAGTTCCTGTTGTGCATCTGATTTTATGTGTTCTAAATCAGAGAAACATTTAAAGGACTAATTTCATGTGATACTGCTCTTGTCTGCTGCAGGACAAGCCCCCTTTCCAGGAGTCATCAACATAGATGGAGTTGGAGGAGGCCTTTGTGAGCATAGAGCCAGCTTGCTGGCCAATCACGGCTTTGCCACACTGGCCCTGGCTTATTACCAATATGAGGATCTGATCCAGAAGCCCACCAAACTCCATCTGGAATATTTTGAAGAGGCAGTGAACTTCATGCTGCAGCACACACAGGTAGTAGCATGCTCCCTGCCCTCTGGCATCCAGAGGATGCTTCTTCTCTGGGGTGCCTATCCCCTCGCCAGAGATATCACTGGGGGAAGCTGCTGGATGCTTGTGCAACCCCATGGCTGGCATCTGCAGGGTGTCTGAGCTCTGGAAAGGAGGAAGGACTAAACAGATATGCACTGGAAGGGTGGTGGAAAGAGATAAAGCACACTCAAAAGAGACAGCTGAGACATTACGAAGTAGAAAGGCTCAAGCAGGAGAGCCTTCATGAATCACCACCCTTCTTCCTTCTCCTTCAGGGCAGGTGTTTAGCACTTGTCCAGCAGAAAAACTAATCATCCTCCTCTGTACTGTTATGTAAACTCTTGACATTACACAACATCCCCTTCCAGTAATTAGCTGTTGTGTTTTTCAGCTCAATACTGATGGGGCTTTCCTCCTATCCACCAGGTAAAGGGACCAGGGATTGGCCTGCTCGGTTACTCCAAAGGAGGTGATCTGTCTCTCGCCATGGCTGCCTTCCTGAAGAATATCACAGCAGTAGCTTCCATTAATGGCCCTGTGGCCATTACAGTTTTTCCTCTCTGCTACAAAGATAAAACTATTCCCGCTTTGATGTGTGATGAAAACCTTGTGAAGGTTTATGATAAGAATATCCTTGATTATTCTGATATTGCTGATGACCCCTTTAAAGCCCCTGGCAACCAAAGCCTGATCCCAATAGAGAATGCTGAGGCACATTTACTATTAATTGCTGGACAAGATGATCATATTATCAACAGTAAGTATTATGTCACTGAAGCTTGCAAATATTTGCAGGCTCGAGGGAAGGAAAATGTTCAGACACTCATTTATCCCGGAGCAGGGCACTGCATTGACCCTCCCTTTTCCCCTTTTTATCCAATAGGAAACCACCCAGTTTTTCACAAACGAGCTGTCCTGGGTGGAGAGCTCACAGCTTACTCTAAGGCACAGGTTCATGCTTGGCTACAGATACAGGCTTTTTTCCACAAACATTTAAATGACAAGTGATGCATGTACAAGAAATGCACAACTCTGAACAAACACCTGATGAATTATTTTAAAATTATCAGGTCAACTCCCTTTCCCAGCTGTACCAATACAGCTACAGTGCCTTTGGTGACTTTGCACAACCATAACTCAGAAAAGAATTGGTTTTCATTTTCTGTTTTACATTTTTGGTCAAGTGTCAAGAAAAGGAAGGGAGAATAGGAAAAATATTCAGTTATTTTTCTCATTTGTTTTCTATTTTTATATTTGCTTTTCACATTACTGTGGCCTCCACGTGCATATGCTATTCACATCTCATACTTCAAAGCAAAACCTTTCAAACAATAATTTTGGTGCATGGACTTCACTACTGTTATGGTAAAAATCATAAATGAAAATGCTTCTGAACTCCAAGACACTGGAAGTGTGCAATAATGGATGTTACAGCAAGAATGTCATGGTCTGTCTGGTTAGCCCTCTGGAAGGGTTGTTTGTCTTCTGTTTCCATTTCCCCTTCAGAAGAAAGTGTTTTGCTTCATGTATACTTCCAACTCTAACACGTCATGCAAAAACCCAAATTTACAGTCATTGTGATCTTCTCCCATAAAATGTGGAAACTTTTCAGCTTTGTTATTAGAGCTGGTTGAGGTCAGACTAATGAGGGAACAGAGCTAGAGCAGCTCATACAGGAACCAAAGGCGTGAAGGGATCTTTCCGCTGAGTCATGAGACTCAGAGTGGACCCCCTTGCTTACTATACTCCTTTTGATGGCCTAGGTGTAGCTAGATCCACTCTTAGTCTTGGTCAGTGGTTCACATCTTAACAGAGTTTCTCTCATCCACGCATTGACAACTAACCAGACAGTCACAAATAATTGCAGACAAATTAAAATTAATTCTCCAAACAATTAAGACTTTACATTTACCTCAATAAATAACATCTTCCTACCAAATTTGTCAGTTTACATTTACTTTATCGGGTTTTCAGGTTCTGGACTGACCTGTATTTAAAGTCAAAGTGGTAATGTCAGAGTACAGCAAAGAGCCTGCAAACAATCCTCACCGATAATCCCAATAGGGAGTGCTTTTTCAAGTGCTTTTTTTAGGGTGGCACCTGGAATCCTGAGGCTGTAATTCCTTCAAGCTGTAGCACCAAATGGGCCATCTGAGTCATGGCACCGTGACTGCCAGAGAATATGGAGACCCCAAGTGTGTAGTAGCCCAAGTACAACTTAACATGGATCAGAAGAAGCCTTATTGACTACAGTCACAGTTAGAAAACATTGGGGCAGCATCAGCCCCTCTGCTCCCCTCTTCTGTCAGATGTCTGTAGAGACCTCTCTTAAGTACTGTTTCAAATAAAGGAAAGAGGTAAGGAAAATCCTTCTAATGTTAGCAAAGCCAGTTGTATATTCTTGGGAAAAACAAATTCTAGACAACTATGAATATGTCTGAAAGGCCAAATCCCTCCACGCCTAGGAGGGATGCAGTCCTTAAGGAGCTTGTTAGCAGCCACAGCTGACAAAACAGAGAGGGCTCTCTGATAGCCCTGTAGGAGAGGCGCAGCAGCATTAGCTGAGCTCACAAGTGGAGGTAGCAGTGGGCATTGGAAATGATCACACACTGCTAGCTTTTGCTTGGATAAAATTCTCAGCCATTCCTTTCAAATCTTCCATATTTTACCACTGCACTCAACTGCTCTAGCTCCGTTGCCAAATTAGTCTGACCTCAATTAGAACGGCCAGATCAAGCAGAGTGTGACTTGGAGCAGACCCCTACTGTGGGTGACTCCTTTCTTGGCTCATACCCACTGTACAAGCCATATCAGTGTGGATAAAATGAGAGCAGACACTCAAGTCTCAGGTGAGAGATGAAATGCATTGGTCTTGGTGGGACTGAAATGCAGGCTGAGACCCTGGGAGGGCTGTCATCTCAATCAGTGTGATTAAAATTTGGGCTGAGATTTGAACAGCAAATCAACATCTTTATATAAAAATAAATCCTACAAGTAAATAGAAGGTACCTTTAAAATCACAGGCTGACAAAAGTCATTCTGGTGAGGCTGGGATACCCTGAAATTCGACCCTGTGGCATGTGTGTGTGTGAGACTCAGTACAGGTGGGCACTGGATTGTCCAAAGTGAGGGAGGTTGCCCTTAATGGTGGCCCAGCCCGATTTATATACAAAGATTACTCTACTAAAATTGGCAAGGTTGTTGGTCTTTTTGTTTGCTTTGTTTTCATAATGAAACAGCTACACCTGGGATGATGTCCCTCAAAAGTTTCCCTTTGAGACTTTCAAATTTGATAAAATACGGGAGGAAAAAAAAAAAACAGGAAAAAAAAATGAAAGCAAGATAGCACACACTCAGCGTGATGCTTTTTTTAGTTGATAAGGTGATGCAGCCGAACAGTGCACTGAATCACAGAACTCAGAGCCTAGAAGACTCCCAGGAAAAGCTAAGACAATAAAAATTTAAAATCAGAATTTCTTGATTAACAAACAAAATCATCTCAACATCGATATATTTCTGGCACACATACTGCTGCTCCTGTACAGCTAGATATTGTGGATGGCCTTATCATCCACTTATTATGTTGTGGATGACCTTTAATACCCTAAATCTTTAGGTTATTTTTCTCATTTAGCCCTCCTCATCTTCCAGATAACCTGGATGAGCAGGGGAGGAAATCGAGTCCACTACTAGCTCTATCAACAAACCCTATTTGAATTTCCCTGTTGCAGAGGAAATTGTAACTTATCTCCTTGGTACCGGGACTTCTTGCTCCACTTCACATGCCTCTGACTTTCTGCACATTGCCTTGTCTTCTGAAGGTATGGGTACTGCAGGATAATCCATCCCACCTCCTGTAACAACTTCCCTATGTGCTTCACACGGTCCTATTTCTGATTATTCTGTTTTTCTTTTAAGCCCTACTGCTCCACTTCACTTGTCAAGCAAAGATTTCTCATTTAAACTAGGATGTGCCATTATTATTACCCCGACTGAATGTTTACTGATGTTTCACCAGTGCATCAGGAAGAATTCATCTCTCTATGCATAGACACCTATCTCTCCAGACCCCTCTTTTCTTCAGGACATCTTAGTGCAAGTGTCTTCCCAGATTTGTCTTCTCACACTAACGAAGCAGGTCGCATGCTAAGTTATGAACCTCATACTCAAATAGGGAAATGCCTCTCCTGTGTGTTCCTCATCACCCTATCTCAAAGAAAGCTGAGGAAGGTATCTGACTGGTAACTGATTCCCTATTGCAGCCCCTATGGATGGTGAATCTTGTGACCATCTTTTACTAAACAGCTCCTTTATCCCATGTCCTGATCTCCAGAATGTACCCTTGCTCAATCCAGATCTTATCCTTTCTGTAGATGGCTCTTGCCTTTGTGACTCAAGTGGAAAACTTGCTTCCAGCTATGCTGTCTGTGATGCATGATATATTGCAGTATATTTCCTCTGTTCCTTCTGTACAAACTGCTAAACTTGTTCTTATCTGTGCCTGTGTTATGGCACATAGCCAATCTGCAGCTATGTTCACCAACTCCTGCCTTGTGTTTGGTGTTGCGTATCATTTTGGTCAGCTCTGAAAACAACATGCTTTTCTTATGTCAGCAGGTTCCCATGTGAAGGACAGATGTTATGTATGTGGATGCCCTTTTACAAGCCTTTCTACTGTCTTCTTTAGCTATTGTTTTAAATGTCAGTCTGCCATAACTCTATTCCACCCATTCCATTTGGCTGGAATAGAATTAATTTTCTTTATAGTAGCTGGTACCACATTGTGTGTGCATCATGGTTTTGTGATTTTTTGTTATCAGTATTCCACATCATAACATCATGTAGAGCACCGGGAGTTGGGAGGGAAGATTTAGGTTGGATGTCAGGGGGAAGTTCTTTACAGAGAGAGTGGTGAGGTGCTGGAACAGGCTGCCCAGAGAGGTTGTGGATGCCCCGTGCCTGGAGGTGTTCGAGGCCAGACTGGATGGGGCCCTGGGCTGCCTGGTCTAGTATTAAATGTAGAGGTTGGTGGTCCTGCCTGTGGCACAGGGGTTGGAGATTCATGATCCTTGAGGTCCCTTCCAACCCTGACTGTTCTGTGATACTGTGAGTTAAAGTGTTAACGCTCAAGTTCCGGGCACCTGTCTGGAAGAGAAGAAGAGCTACATACCCCAGGGGGCTTTGCAGTCATAGAAGAGATCTAACCCCTGGCAAGATCACCTGATGTGCTCTTCATCTCCCCACTGCTCAACCGGACTGCACATCTCACCTGAGCGTTATGGTGAGGCCTATCCACCTTTCGGACACTTGCTCTCATTATATTTGATTTATTGGCTTCAATTCCAATTATATTGTATTATAGTGTATTATCTTGCATTCCGATACTATACTTAGTAAATTAGTTTGTTTCTCCTCAGATCGTTGCCACTCTTTTAATTATTTTGGGCTTCCCCGTTTCCCTTTTCTGGAGGCACAGATTTTGTGAAATCCCTCTGCCACGCTAGTCACAGAACTGGGTTGAACCAGCCCGTAAACCATTGACAGTGTGTGTTGGATTTAGGAGGAAAATAGTGTTGATAGCACACTTATGTTTTAATTGTTGCTGAGCACTGCTTCCTCTAAGTCAAAGATGTTTTGGCTTCTCAAGCTACCTTGCCAGCGTGGAGCATGGATGTGCACAGTTGTTCTTTTCTTTCCCTCTTTTTTTATTTTTCTTTTTTTTTCTTCCTTTTTTATTAAACTATCCTTCGTCCATGAGATTTCACAATTGTCTTTAAGCTGTGGGGGAGGGACGTAAGCAAATGGCTGCGCTGTGCTGAGCTGCCTGGCAGATTAAACCATATCAGCTTTTTCAAGAAAGGACCCAAAATAAGGACTTCCTGTTGCACAAGTTGCATCAGAACCAGAGACACTGTCTACTCCTTGAGGCAGCTGAATAATGTGATGATTATTTGATAGGTATAAACCAGACTCCAGCACTATGTAACTCTGACACTGCCACAGTCAGG